ATACAAGTAGTTTTCTCATCTTAATAATTGTTTTTTGTTGTTGTTCATATTTTCTGTGGTACTGGGGACTGAACCAAGGGGTGCTCTACAGCTAAGGGTTTTTTTTTCTTCCCCCAGCCCTTTTTATTTTTAATTCTGAGATAGGGTATGACTAAGTTGCCCAAGCTGGCCTTGAACTTGCCATCCTCCTGCTCAGCCTCCCCAGTAGCTAGGATTATAGGCACCACCACAGCCCAGCTTAATATTGTTATATTTTCACAATTTAAAAACACGAGACAGGGCTGGGGATGTGGCTCAAGTGGTAGCACGCTCACCTAGCATGCGTGAGACACTGGGTTCGATCCTCAGCACCACATAAAAATAAAATAAAGATATTTTGTCCACCTAAAAAACTAAAAAATAAATATTAAAAAATAAATTAAAACAGAAGACATCATTACAAGTGCAGAAAGGTGGGAAAAGAGTAGAAAGCCCTAAAACCATGAAAAGGTACCAACTCCAATCAGTTTCAGGCTGTGATCTCAGCAGCTTAGCTTAATGTACCAGATAATTTGAGGAGACTCAGGCGCCTAAAGAACACTGTTTCTGAACTCTTGTGTTTTACTGACTGGCGGTGGGGCTGGTTTGGAGATTTATCACAGAAGCAATACTATGGTGACTTTGGGATGAGAGGGAAAATAAAAGCATCACATTTCAAACCCCCAAAATCCTTACGATTCTTTCCAACCACTTCAAAGGTCCCCTAAATGGGAGCACATTTCTTTCTAAACCAAAGCCTATGGTAATGAAGAATGCCACAGACCTCACATCAGAATCAGTGAAGCTCAGTCAAAGCACAAGTGCGCACCCAGTTCCTCCACACCCAGACCTGCTGCCCCTGACTCAGCAGCTGAGTCAAGCTCCTGCCTGTTGAAGATGTGCCCAGGTGATTCTTATGTACACAACCCATAACAACCAGAACATCTGTTGCTTTTGGCTGAGCTTAGTGCAGCTAATTTAGCTGAATGAACTAACCCTGAGTCCCCTTCCAGGCCTTTGTCTATGTAAATACAACTGTGCAGAGCACAAAAGGGAAGATTTTAGAAAAACTGATATAAACCAAGTTGGCTAACAACTACAGCTTCAGAAAAGAAAACAGGCATATAAAATCAATTTATATACATCCAGTAGTTCCCAATGCAGTGCACCAGAATGACATGGGCAAGCTGTTTCAAAGACCTGCCCAGTGGCCCCACACTAGACCTTCTGAGTCTGCACCTCCAGCATTGGGGCTCCCAGGGGCCACAAAATCGGTTTGTGGGCCAGGAAGCATGGTTTCTTGCTAAGGAAGTACCTGCAGTTAACTCAGCAACTTAAATAACAACTGGCAGGTGAAAACAGAAGAGTGAGCTTGGGGTTAAACTCAAGTGATAAGTGCTAGGTCTGGTTCAGTGAGGAGACAGAATAGTCTTTGGAAGTGGGCCTGGTCTGTGCCCATAGCAGTTCTGACTACTGCTGGGAAAAATGCCAGAATAATCAGTGGCATTTGTTTGACTACCTTAAAGGTAGCAAATAGCTGGTATGAATGCTGCTGGTTTCTTCACCCATTGACCCAGGATAGAGATGACTAAGGAACTGTGGCACTCTCCCAGTGAACCCAATCAGGGCCTCAACCTCCCACTGAACAGATGTCCATTCCCCTGAGATAGAAGACAGTGGGCCAAGTGAAGTACATGTGAATCCCTGTCCTGATGTGGACAGTTCAGAAGCTGGGCCTCTCTGCAGATCATGCCACCATTCTAATCTCTTAAGGCAATCCAAATGAGATCTCTAAGGATCTCAGAGCAAAGCAAGTCCTTTTCTTCTCAGTGATACACCTAAAGTTTTGGGAAAAATGCAAAGTTTTTAACCTGTATCATGAGGTCTCTGTGAATATTCTGACAGGGTTCTGCACTGGAATGTACCTCCTTCACAAAGTCTCCCCCCATCTAAGACACCTCAGTCTAAATTCATTTATGCCCTTCACATCTCATTAGGTCCTATCTGTGTTCATGTCACTAACAGCCTGAAGATTCTTTGCCAGGAACCCTAAAAGTCAGTCCTATAATGAAGACGTGCATTCACATAGTATAAGCAGAGATGAAGCAATGGAAACTGACTTCACATCTCAACTGGGAAGTAAGTCAAAACTGAGGCAGCAAGGTCTGGGCACAGGTACCAATGGAATTTAATGCCCTGCACCAAAGGGTTTGGTGTTGAGATTTCTAAAACAGTGGTGTGTTTTAAGTGCCATATCCTAACAGAAAATAATAGAACCTCAGAACACTGACGTGAATAGGAATCAACAAAATATTTACTTCTGAGCAATGACTCACCACCCCCCACCATTGAATGTTAGCAGAGAAACACACACCAGGGGAACACCCCTGAGGAGTCAACCTTCATATGCACTTGGATATACAGAAGGAAAGAAAAACATGTGGGAGGAGAAAATGCACAGGTAACTGAAAAATGGTTAGAACTGCCAAGACTGAGCTGAGGTCCTAGGCCAGTTCAGAGGAAGCAGGATCATTACTCCTATTGCCTAGTTCCAGAAAAGATCATGCTATTCAAAAGGCCCAACAGGAAATGCCTGCTGAACATCAGGCAAAACAAAGATGCCTAGACAAGACAAACTATTCATTATAGCTAATGAAAGATCTATGGACTCTCAAGCTGAGAGGACAAAGGGGAAGAGATGTCTAGGAGGCACCCACTCTCACTTCCAAGAGTTTGAAAGTGTATTACAATTAGCAGGCTACAACCAATGTGAATCTGTGAAGTTCTGTACAAGGTTCTCAGCCTGAGTTCATATTCCTAAATCCTAACCACTAAGAAAAATTCAGTTTCCAAATTTTAAACTATGTGACTTTTGGGGGGATTATCCATCATTAAATCATTGCTAAAATACATAATCCTTTTTCTTCTTCACTCAAAGAAATACCATTATTATTTCAATCTATCTACAAAGATTAGCAACAAGCAACAAAATATAGAGTGACTGGCAGTTCTCAAATGTTCTTAATATACTTTTCAATCCTGAGCATTTTATTTTCTTTTAACTTCCCCCAATCCAAAGAGCACCAAAGGAAATGTAATACAAACCTTTCAATGTGGATATCTGCAGCTTAATAGCCTTAATAACTAGCTATAAAATTTTAAGAGCTATCGTATTTTGGTGGCAATTACAGTTATTGATATTTCTGAAATTCATTTGAGATTTTACTGTAACTTTAGCAAAAAAAAATTTGGCTTATGATATGGCTCTGGAAATAATAAATTGTTTTACAATCTTAACATTATTAAGAAAAACTTACTGCCATGAAATTAAACTGCACCCACATTTAAAATTCAATCAAAATAAATTGCTCTTGATCAAAATACTGATATACTTAAAATATATTTAATATTGACCCAGTTTAATGAGAATATATATTGCTCCACTTATAATCAATATGTTGAGATTAATACTTTTATTAATTTTCTACAGTAATTAAGAAGACTGACATTGCTCACTGTTCAAGAGTATTGAGCAATATTCCTCAAACAATGTTACAGATATCAAGTATGCACACTAAAGTTGCAGTGAGAAATGACAAAAATCATTCCTCAGTTATGAGTACTCTGTGAGGTACCATTGGAACCTGAATAACAGCTCTCAAAAACTGGATTTAAATCACAGGGCTTCATATTACTAAAATCACCGTGCTGCATCCACTCTGAAAAGCAGTGTCCATTTAGGTCACAAGAATTTTTTGTTATTGTTATTGTTTTGGCAATACCAAAGATTAAACGCAGGAGCACTCTACTGCCAAGCTACATCCCCAGCCATTTTTATTTTTTGACAGGGTATCACTAAGTTTCTGTTCCCTTGAACTTGCGAGCTTCCTACCTCAGCCTCTCAAGGAGCTGGAGTTATAGACGTGTACCTCCAGTCCCTGCTATTAGTGGTTCCAAACAGAAGAAAAATAGTAGGTTAGCATCATTTAAAGGGATTTAAGAAAGTGATCTATAATTCTGTAGATGACTATTTTCTCAAGACAAGGAAGGAGGAATTTAAGAAAGCTTAAGACTTCTAAAATTACTATTCTGCTTCAAAATGAATAATAAAAATAAATAAAAGGCTATTTATTGTATGAGTAATACAATAAACCAGATCTTCCCACGTTGAGAATTCAGGAAAAACTCTTGAGAAGCAGGAAAAAGCCCCCCAATATTAAATAATCAAGAAGTACTACCATTCGTTTTTCCCTGACTTCCTCAGAGATCTAGAGCACTCGGTGAGATATTGCAGAGAGGCCTGCGGTGTACAGATTGCCAGGCTCGAAAAAAACCATGTGGTGATGGCAATTTTTGACTTCATGTTATACCTGTTCACTTCCTTTTCATCTCACCTGTATCATATACCAATAAAGTCACAGAGTCAGTCTCTGGCATAAAAAAATCACGGTGAAAAGGAAGGTACATTGTATACACAAAGTACATTTCTGACACAACAGAGGTTTATAATTCTGTAGATGACTATTTTCTCAAGACAAGGAAGGAGGGATTTAAGAAAGTAAGCTTAAAAGACTTCTAAAATTACTATTCTGCTTCAAAATAAATAATTTTTAAAAACAGTATACACAACACAACCTTTTCCTTTTGTTACACTTACTACAGTGTGACCACTCTGAGTAGAAGCCACACAACTCTCACATCAGTATTCTCTATGCACTTTCCCTAGACTTTCTCTTAAGCTCTTCACCTTAGACTTGCCCCCAAGTGTGGCTCAAGACCTGGAATTACAAGGATTTGGGGTCTGAGGTCCACTGAGACCTTGGCTCCTATTTCTTGCAGGTTAGAGCTGCAGGAAGCCCAACCTTTTGTAGATGGGAGTCTAGAAAAGTAAGCTGGACCTAGAATGTTTACATGTCATTAATAAAGCTGCTGCCTAACATCAAGTAAGCAGTACAATGTACTCACAATCCCTGCAGACCCACCTTAATCGCTGTTTATAATAATCTTCATCTCCATCATCTTGGCATCTCACTACTTTTCGACTTCCTTTTCCTCCTCCGTTGGCTTCAGCTTCTTCCCCAGAACTTGGGAAAAAATCGTCATCAACCTCCTGCACTGAGGCTTTCTTCTGGCGTTTCCTGCCCTTGAGCACAGGCCTCAGTTCATAGTCAGTGGCATCTCCACACAGGCCAGCCTCTGCCTCCTCTTCCTGCTCTGTGAGACAGGACCAAGACTCCCCACTCTCAGAATCTCCCTCTGACTTTGGCCTGGCCTCTGACTCAAGGGGCTTCTTCCCTCTTGGCAACCCCACCTTCCCCTGGAACTGCAGTGCCCTCTTCTGGAGCTTCCTGATGCGCTTTTTCAAGCACTTGTCTGTTTTTGAGAGAACTTTGTTTCTCTGATTTGTTTTGTTTTCATGTGGTCCTGGGCCAGCCTTAGACATGACCAAGGCTGGGGCTTTTCTGGCTGCTCTTTTATTAGCAGCTTGCTTCTTCCTTTCAAAAGACAGTTTTGCTTGATCTGCCAAATACTTTTCGAAGCCTGATGCCTCATTGAGCATTATTTTTCTAGGCTTTTTCTCTTGTTTCTGAGGGACCTGGGTACCAAATGGTGTCATCTGACCCGTGCGAATGAGCTCTTCCCAGGCAGTCTCCTGGGCAGGCATGAGCATACTGCCAAGACAGGACGGCCCCGGCTCTGAAAGAGCAACAATAATGTGGCTAGCATAAAACTTCCCAAGAGTACACTGGAAATATTCACTTGTTCAAGTAGGCACCTACCAATAATTCACATAAAAAGATGAATGTAATAAAGTATAAATATTATAGCACTTAATATAGTCCTGTTCAAAAAGGTGACTTCTCAGTAACTTTTCTTCAAAATATCATACCATATAAATGTGGTATATATACAACATGGAATACTATTCAGCCATTAAAAAAAATGAAGTTCTCTCATTTGGGACAGCATGAATGGAAATGAAGATCATCGTGCTAAGTGAAATAGGCTACTCACAGAAAAATAAGTACTATATGACTGCATTCATATTCAGAATCTAAAAATGCTGAGCTCATAAAAGTGGAGATCAGAATGGTGGCAATGGCTGGGAGAACAGGGGGAAGGAAGAATGGTCTTACTCAAGGTACTGAGTTATAGTTAGGAAGTTCTGGTGTGCACAGCAGGTAACTCTTCATAACAATAGCATGCTGTATATTTCAAAAAGCAAGAAAAGGTAGCTTGAACGTTTCACCATAGAAAAATGATAACTGTTTGAAGACACAGATATGTTCAACCTGAATTATACCTTATACAATATACACATTTATTGAAATATCACATAGCACCCTAAAAACATGTATAAATTTTTTCAGTTAAAAAATACACTTGAATTTAAAGTTTTAAATATCACATTATGAATATACTTTGTATAACTAAAAACAGGCCTAGAACTATAAAAATTATCAACAGAAGAATAGCCCACAAGAAAAAAATAATATCCAAGTTTCCATATTTTTGCTAGTATCAACATTCAGATGGACCTAAATTCAAGACAATAAAATTAAAACAGACATCTCAGGCATCACCATGTATCTAAACAGGAAAAATTCAAAGTGTTATCTCTGTACTGCTCAGCAAGTATTTACCAGTCAACTGTAGCTATTTAAAAATTAAATTAACTGAGTCCTACAGTTATATGTGAATAATGGTTACCATCCTAACAATACAGAGAACTCTCCCCTCAACATGGAGAATCTTCCCCTGTAAGTATAAAGTCATGTAGAAATCCCTCTCTCACTAGTTGAAATTAATCTCCAACAAAAAAATTACTTTACCACATAATCTGAAAACCAAAAAACTTAAGATTTAACAGGAAGGAATCCATATTCTAAAATATATAATTCTTATACAAGCCAGTTTTTCCTTAAATTTGCTCTCCTGAAATAAAACATACAAGAATGTACACAAATTATAACCTCAATGAATATTCAGAAAAAATATTTATGCACCAGCATTCAGATTAAATAACAGAAATTTCTAGCATCCCCCTAGGTGCAGCTGGTGCCACCTCCAGCCGACCCAGGGATAATGACAGGCCTGACTCTATGGATGAGTGATGCCTGGCTGTGTACCTCATATCAATGGAAAGTTGGTGCTCCTCTATGTGCCTGCCTTTAGTCAGAATTGCACTTGTAAAAGCCACACTAACTTGTTGAACGAAGCTGCCATTTGTTAGCTCTTACTATTGCTGGTATTCTATAATTTTTCCATTCCACTGTTAATATACTTGGGTGGTTTCTAGATTTGGGCTGCTAAGTATAATGTTGCTATGAATATTCTCATACACATCCTTTAACAATAAACATATATAATTGAGTATATTCAGATTTAGTAGACACTGCCAAACAGATTTGCAAAGGTTGAAAGTTCCAACTGGTCTACATTCTTGTCATTCCTTTTTGGCTATTTTAATAGGTATGTAGTGATACCACATTGTGGCTATAACTTGGAATTTTCCTGATGTCTAATGAAACAAGGTACCTTTCATAGATTTACTGATCCTTCGGACAGCCTCTTTTGTGTAGAAAATGTTTCAGTCTTCTACCCATTTTTCTCTTAATCCATCTACATTTCACAAAATAAAGATTTCTAGTTCTTTATATATTCTAGATTCAAGTCCTATGATTCATTCATATTCTACAAATACCTTATCCCACTCTGTAGCTTACATTTGCACTCTCTAAATTCTATCTTTTGACAAACAGAAGTTCTTAGGTTTTTTTAAATATGTTTTTAGTTGTAGATGGACACAATACCATCTATTTATTTTATGTGGTGCTGAAGATCAAACCCAGTACCTCATGCATTCAAGGAAAGTGCTCAACCATTGAGTTACAACCCCAGCCCAGTTCTTAATTTTTATACTGTCCATTTAATAAATCTTTTCCCTTACAAAGAGCATTTCTGTGTCCTATTTAAGTCTTTGCTTACACCACAATCATGAAAATGTTTGCCTTATATGATGTTCTAAATGCTTTGTCTTACCATCAACATTCAGATATATCATCTGCTCAGAATTTATCTTTGTGCACAGTGAAACAGGTCAAGATTTCTTTTATTTTTATGTGGATTAACCCAGCACCACTGATTAAAAAGACCATTCTTCTCAACAGCAGTGTCTGCCAGCTTTGCCATAAATCAAGTGATACTATGTGCATGGGCCTATTTATTGGGCCCTCTTTTCTATACCAAGGGTCTGTCTGTATATCCTTGTGTCAATACTATACTGTCTTAATTACATCAGCTATATGACAGTTCTTGATATTTGTTCTTCAGGATTGCTTTGGCTATTCTTGGCCCAACACACCTTTATACAAATTTCAGAACTGGATTGTTAATGACTTCTAACTTCAACTTTAGATTTCCTCCCTCATGTCCTTTGCCTTAAAACAAAACAAAAACCTGAGATGTATATTGGGACTGCGCTGGAACTATAGCTGGTTAGGATAAATGACATGTCTACAACATTGTATTTTCAATTCACAACCACAGTGTATCTCCATTTACTTGTCTTTTTGATTTCTCAGTGGCCTTTTTTAGTTTTTATGTAGGAAACACTGCAGAAAACCTCATTATTTTCTTTTTGTTTTTTAATTTGCTCTTTTTAGTTATACATGACAGTAGAACGTATTTTGACACATTATACATACATGGAGTACAACTTCTAATTTTTCTGGTTGTACATAAAGTGGAATTACAATGGTAATGTATTCATATATGAACATAGAAAAGTGATGTTCAATTCATTTTACTATCTTTCCTATTCCCATTCTCCCTCACTTCCCTTCATTCCCCTTTGTCTAATCCAATATACTTTTATTTTTCCCTACCCCACCCACTTATTGTGAGTTAACATCTGCATATCAGAGAGAACATTTGGCCTTTGAGAAAAAACACATTTTTTTTTGCTAAATTTCTTTCTAAGTATTTGATTTTCAATGTAACTGGCATCTTTATTAAATTTTATATTTTGTTTTTCTTGGCATATAAAAATGACAAGTTTTTATATGTTGATCCTATATTCAATGATATCGCCAAGCACATCAATTTCTGAATTTTCTACATAAACAATCAAAAATTCTATGATTAATGATGGTTTTATTTCTTCTTTGTCATCCTTACACTTTGTGTTTCCTTTCTTCAGTTCCTATATTGTCCAGAGAAATAAAAAGGAAAGGTGTGGGTGTACACTCTTGTCACCCTCCAGATCACAGTGGCAAAGTCAAAGTTTCCTTTTGTTTATAATCTGTTCTCATCCACTTCTAAGAAATTACTATCAGGTAATTCTCACAATCACCTTATGAAATGGATCACTATGTGGAGAGCTGGGGAAAGGAAGCCTCAGGGAAGTATGAGGGAGGGCTGCTACACCTACACATACTGTGCAGGTTCAGAGAGACTTAGGTAAAGAACACAGCCAAGTTCCACCTGGCAATGCAGAGCTAAAACTGTGCTCTCAGGCCCTCTGCTCTACTGCCTCAGCAGACAGAGTGGAGGAGATAGGATGGTAAGAGAGATCAGAGTCCCAGGTGATGGCTGGTGTCCAGATGGAGGGCTATCATAGGAATCAGGAACTCAAAAACTGACGGCAACATATCTGTAAGATAGTAAGTGGCTCCAAAGCCATGTGAGTAGATGATATTTGGGGAGAGGAAATCGAATGAGAAAGGGGCTCAACAAAAAAATCCTGAGGAATCAGCATTTGTGATAATATCAGAAAAGCTGACCAAAACAACGCAACAGACTTAGGCACAGGGCAGAAAGGAAAACCAGGAAAAAGATAAGGATCCCAGATGGCACAGAAGTATCAAACGCTGTCAAAAGACTGAGGGAGGCAAGGTCTAAGGAGGTATCGTTTAACCCAGGGCAAAGTTTTACCAAAGTAGCAATAGGAAGTAAAATCAGATTTTAGACAGCTAGACAAGAACAAATATCCTTTACCAATGAGAAGTATGGTACCACAGCTGCAGAAAGCACTGGTCCTAAGATAATGAATATTGTTAGACTGAACTTTAAAAAGCACATCTCAGAACAATACTCTTGTGTTAGTGAATATTAGAGATAGTAGGAAATATTTGCTTGAAGCGCTTATACTAAGAAAGCTTAATTTAAATTTCAGGCAGTAAAATGAGCAGCGACTAACAATTTCTACACACACACACACACACAACTGCAAAGATATTTAGTTCCAGAGCTTATGCATTTTCCAAAAAGGTTTTCCAAAAGACAATAATCCAAAGCAGTAATTTAATGAAATCATGGCTATGATAAAACCTGAATGCCTTTTCTTATACAACAGAATAGATGCTTGGAAAGCCTGCCAAATATGATCCTAAAAAAAATGTGAGAGCAATTCTACAGATGCTGATTGATGATGCTGGGCTTTCAAAATGTAATTCAATCAAGATATTAGTGTCATTATCAAATTAATTATATAACCATGTTTAGAATTTCCAATCTATTAAATGTAACACTAAACATCCATCAGCAGCCTCTAGAGAATTGAGTTAAAAATTTACTTTCAAGCTGGGCACAGTGGTGTAGGCCTGTAGACCCCATGACTTGGGAGGCTGAGGCAGGAGAATCCCAAGTTCAAAGCCAGCTTCAGAGGTTTAGCAAGACCCTCAGCAACTTAGTAAAACCCTGGCCAAAAAATTTTAAAAAGGCGTGGGGATGTATGTCGGTGGTAAGGCACCCCTGCCTTTAAAAAAAAAAAAAAAAAAAAAGTGTGTGTGTGCATGTGTGTGTGTACATATACACCCACATATATATACACATTTTTTTTCTTTAAATTCTCTAAAAACCTGATCTGACTGAAAAGGTTTAGTTTTGCAATGTAAAGAGTAAAATATTCCTAGATCCAGTCTAACACTAAGACAAAGAAAGGCATTTTTCTCAAAGCCCAGGCATATATAAAGAGGCATTAATTCAAGAACACAAAGAAATTGTTCCCAGTGTCCTCACCTTCATCCTCTTCCTCCAGGCTGGCATGATCCAGTTCCACTCTTACCTCCAATCCTCCAAGGATGGCCTGCAAACGTTTCTGTTTTGCAGTGATCTTCTTTAGCTGTTGTTCCTTGAAAGATAAATACCAAATACAGAACAGGATAATGCAGTGGTTTATTGTTAAATAAAATAGCACTATGAAATTTAAAAACCTTAATGAAGAGTAAAATAAACTTTACATTACTATTACTATACACAGCCTTATTTGAACAACTCTCACTTTCTTGCAGCAAGTTAATCTTGAAGCAATCCTGTTGTATAGACATGCCTGCCCCACAGGTGTTCCTTACTGTGTGGCACAGAGCTTTCCCCATTCTTGGGCACTTAAATTGGACACTTAAATCACATGTACCAACTGAGGAAGAGTGGAATTGCCCTTCCTGCCCACCCACTTCCCCATACTGGAATACATCATTAAACTTTGCATACTGGATACATCATTAAACTTTTCTGTGCTTCTGACCTGAGCAGCCAATGGAGGGCAAAAGGACATAGGGATGAGAAATAAAAAACAGTGTTCAATATTTTAAAAAATCACTCTTCTTAGATAACCTACCGTATTTATGACATCCTTTATAGTGTTCTATCCAATCATAAAACTCAAAGGCAAATACATTTTGCCATGCTTCTTTACCCTGACTGCCCTAGATTCCTCTGTCTTATCTTTCTTGATATCATCAAAATTCATACTGTTGCCTTCCTACAGCTTCCCAATTACCTGGGCCTAGAGTACTTGGATCATTTTTACAAGAAAAAAAATGTTTCAATTTCACCAGTGGTAGAGCACTTGTCTAGCATGCATGAGAACCTCATTCAATTCCTAGCACCACTGGAAAAAAAAGAACGCTTCAACTCTAAATAAGAGTATGGAGCAAGTAGGAAACCTGAACATAAACACTACACTACAATGACTTACAATTTTTTCTTAGTCTTTCTCTCAACAAAATCCCACTTAAAACACTTTCTTTCTGAATAGTTTCTCTCTAAACATCAAGATGCTGATAAAGAAAGACAGGAAAATTGGGCTGGGGATGTGGCTCAAGCGGTATCGAGCTCGCCTGGCATGCGTGTGGCTCGGGTTTGATCCTCAGCACCACATACAAACAAAGATGTTGTGTCCACCGAAAACTCAAAAATAAATATTAAAAAAAAAAAAAAAGAAAAAAGAAAGACAGGAAATATATAATTAAGTTAGACAAAGTTCTGAAGTGGCCTAAAGTTTGTTCTCCATCCTTGAAATCCTAGTCTCCCAGAAGCCCAAGAAGTTCAAAGGTCTCTGCACATCAATTCACATGTTCCCACAAGAGGCTAGATGCCCCCTTTCTGAGTTGAGGGTATCCTCTCTGTATAAAACAAATACTAGCTCTGACTTGTGGGCTGCAATTCCAAAAGTGAGAGAGACAGGTGGTAAAGATAATCAATTGATGGGTGGAAATTAAAAGGAGGACCACATGAAATGAGACTATATGCCCCCACAAGTAGAACTTAAAACTACAAGGACCCCCACCTGTTGCAAATGATCAACTGTAAGCACAAGACTATAAGTCAAGGCAGAATTGAAAAGAACAAAACTAGTCATTCCTATTTACTGCAATTACTTTCATAAAGGTATACATAATTCCTACCAAAAAGAAAAAAAAGTTTCAAACCTCATAAAAACAACATCCTACATAATAGATCTTCCCAACTCTTAAGTTCTCTGACCTTATGCATCTGGGTAGTGAATGTAATACTTAAGGTAAGGATGAAGGACCAGCCTCTCAGAATAAGCAGCAGAAGCACTGTACAGGGGTGAAGACAATCAGTGTTACCAAGAGCTAAACAGAAAAACAAAGCCCACATGAAACAAGGAGATTTAAGTGAGAGACCAATACACCAGATGAGAGAAAAAGGAAATGGTCACACTAGAAAGACTATGTAAGTGAACAGAGTGGGGAAGCATGCAAAGTCAAATAGGAACTACTCTCAACTATGTACTCAAGGATGCATACAGGCATGTAGAGTATATATATATGTGTGTCTATGTGTATGGGTTTTTAAAAATATTGTATAACTAAGGATGTATAAGGGAAACAATTTAAACATATAAAAGTGACTCAAAATTTCTCTACAAGGAATAACATTTGCTTTACATCTTATAAATACTTCCCAGAATATGTTTTAAATTATTAAGTGGGCTCACATGGTGACTTTTTCAAAAGTGTTAATACTTTATGCATTATTTGGAATCACCTTATTATACTTCTGTCGTTTTACAGAATCTAGTTTCCTGTTGATGTCTCTGTTGGTGGCAGCTTGAGGGCTAAGCTGTTCAATAATTTTATTGATTTGCCTTAGAGATGTTGTACATGACCTGAAAAATAAGATAAATTATCTATTTTCCACTATGGTAACATTTATATCATATAATAATAAGACAAATGCTAGAAACATGTCTCTTCTACTTCTTATGAACTAAAAAGAAACTAAAACAGAATGCACATTCTTATTGGTCACAAATAGACTAGAAGTTTAAGATAACTACTAGTGGTTTTCTTTAGTTTTTCTGATTTAAATCAGCTCATTTCCATTTTTAAACTGATTCATTCCTTCTACAACCATTTTTTAACTGTCTACTTTATTCAAGACGCTGTTAGGACAACATGTAATATATTGCCCTTTTTTATGAAGAAATGCATACACAGGTTTTTAAAGCCCATTATGGAAGCCTCCCAAAGTCTGGAAATCCTTGAAAGGATTTCCTAAACATTTTCTTATATAAACTGCAAATCTGTGACAATATTTTTCTTTCATTATGTGAAAGAAAAAAAAAACAAAATTATTCCTAAAACAGGCATAATAGAATTATAGCTTCCAATTTTCAAAACACAAATTCAATCTTCTGGACACTTGTACAATTTGCTGTTTGTATCCTTTGTGGATTTCAGGATAAACAATACAAGTTATTGGCCATCCAAAGCCAATACATCTCCAGCCATAGTGTCCTCTGCCTTGAGAATCCACAGCATTTTCCTATCTCTAACCTCCAGAGGAAGTGAACACATTTTCAAGATCAATTGTAAAAGGTATGTCATTATAAGGAACTGAGGTCCTCAACACTCAAGGTCACTAACAACTATGCAAGAGCACCCACTATTCAAAAGGCCCCCCAAAAAGGTAATTTAAATTAAAACAAAAGAGGCCAAGAGAACACACCAGAAACACTGTAATAATTAACACACTGATTTCTTAAAGTATTAAGTAATAACCTTCCGATTACATACATTGAAATTTCCAAGTAATAATTTCTAAAAAAGGGCACAAATTACAAATTTTCTGTTAGCAGATGATACATGCTTAAAGTACCAAAAGCACCACTACTATAGACTCCCCAATCAGACAGCCACAGATTCCACACACTCCCTCCCCAGCTACCTCAATACTGCCTAGCACTGCCTGAGCACTAGCCAGTCTAGTGCTCAGTTTCTCTTTCTTGCTTGCCTGACCTGTCCCAAACTCAGCCCTATGACAATAATGAGTAAGCTTAACTCTCCACAACTTCCCCACTCCTATCCTCACCCCACAGCCTGGCCCAGTCCCTCTCTTCTCCACCAATACACTATGCTCAACAGAGCCCATGTGAAAATGAGGTCTCCATGTTTCATCTTTCCTTACAGAAAGTCAAAAGTAGGACAGAAGAAAGGAAAGGCAAGGGAGTTATTATTTCTAGAAATGCAAATCTGAAAAAAACTGCCAAGGGACTGAACACTCAATCTGAGGACAGCAAGCTGAAAAGAAGCTACAGGGTTGTGATAAAGGGGCAGTATATTTCTGGTATTTCAAATAGGAAACTGCCCAAACATAGTTTTCAGACATAGTTCTCCTAAGACCACACAGCACATGGCAATGAGTCCTAAATATCACCTCTTCAGGACACTATGCACAAGATAGGCCTTTGTGGGCTGGGCTGAGCTGAGCCCCAAACCACTGTGTGCAACACGGCTGTGTGCATCACTGCTCCTAAGGGAAGGGGCAAGGACCAAAGTCAAAGTGAAGAGTTGCCCTTACTGATGCTATCTCCCAAAAACCAGGTTCTATACATCTCTTACATTTCTGGAATATTATAAGTATTACCTAGATTTCTCTGCCATGCTTAAAAATAAACTCTCAAAAAAGACATGGGCCACACTCACATGAGGTCATCCAGGACTGAACGATACTCCTTCTCAGCATCAACGAGCTGTGCTACGCGGTTAGCCTCAAGGATTGCACTATCCACCTGCTGAAGCACACCCTGTTCTAACACAGCCTGGTCATAAACATCCACACCCAGGCCTTGCAGTTCCAGGGCCTGTGCACTGGGCTCCACAGCCGGGATCTGATGCCTGTCAATGTGCAGCAGGGCTGGACCTCTCCTTGCAGCTGCTGATGTACAGCCCTCAGTAGAAGTAGAGGGCCCAAAGTCGGAGAAAGGAGAAGGGAGGTGCTCCTTCTTCTCTGCATCCCCATCATTTTTTTGCTCAGTTGATGATTCTTCATTAGTACTAATATGTTGTCTCTGTAAACAGTCTTGCTCCTGAGTTTGAGTTGAGTGAGAGATTTCTTCATTTGGCATCTTGTACAGACTATCTAAAAGGATAGAAATATTTTGATCATAGAGATTTGATCATTATATAGTTTCTTCAACATTGTATAATTAATACACTGATTTCTTAAAGTATCAAGTAATAACCTTCCAATTACATAAATTGAAATTTCCAAGAAATAATTTCTAAAAAGGACACAAATTATAAATCTTCTGATAATAAATAAGACAAATTAAACAAAAGAAAAAAATGCAGTAGCATCAACAAGGACATCTGGGCAGCCAGCTGAGAATGCCAGCAACACAATCCTGAGTGACACTATGAACATTCCCAACAGCTGAAATAGTCTGGCTACTGTCTTTCCTGTTAGCATTTTCACTGTGCTAAGATACAAATGATTTACATTAGAGTAGCACAATCAACTATAATTTATGAGTCAGTGACATAAGGAGAGAATTTCTGTATGAATCTGACACTAAAAATTTTGAGGCTAAACATCTATCTAGAACTTTGAACAAATGAGAATCTCAGAGAAATTAACAAAAATATTATCAAAAATATCTCCATTTCATTATACAATATAATATCTCATCAGTTTGGTAGGCATGGTAATATTCAATATAGACAAGAAGCAGGACCCACCTTCACCCACTCATGGTGGGAATATAAATTAATACATCCCTTTTGGGGGACAAATTAGCAATATCTACCAAAATTTTATTGCACATGACCTTTGCCCAGCCAACTCTAGCTCAAGGTATTAATTCCAGAGAAATATAGAACACCCAAATGCCTTAGTTATTCTTTCTCATGATGTGGATGACTAGGACCTGTAGCTCACTGCTGCTGCCTAGCATGATGAGAAGGATCATACTGCATATCACTAGCCCAGGAAATGAGCAAAATTCAAATTGAATGCAAGTTACTTCCATACCATTATAAAGTTAAAAAAATGTTAAGTTCTAAGTCAGAGACGATTTCTACTTATACATCAGTACAAGGATGCTTACTAAGCATGTTTTAATAGTTTAAGGTAACCTTTATATATTTTCTGTGGTGTTGATATAAAACCATGAACACATTTATGGTTCTTGACACACGTAGGCATGCTTGACACATGTGGGCATCTGTGTGTATGGAATGCACATAAAGATCTGAAAAGATGCATACCAAACATACAGTAGTTGGAGGAGGAAGTGAAGGGAACAGAAAAAAATAAAGGAAGCATCTACATTTTATTCATATACTTAGGAACTGCCTGAAAGAGAATATATTCACTCAATTACTTGTGTAACATATAAATATATTAAAAAGTAACATAATAATCAAGAGACAGACTTGATTTTAACCATGAATAAATTAAGGTTTTCTGAAACTTTATTTCTATGAAATGATCACAAATTCCTCCCACCCACCCACTCATTCCTCATTGAATAAAACGATCCCAGAGACCAAGCACTAAGATACAAAGTTGCCATGAATTTAGGATAATCTGCCCCAAAGTGGCTCACTTTGTGCTGGAGATTCAGCATGTGGGGTAACAACACAATAAGGCAGGTCAACTACTGGCCACATGAACTGACAAGAGGGAAAAATGCTTTGTGTTTGGGGCTCAAGAAACATCATGGATAAGCTAAGACCTGAACCCCTGGCCCATGGTTTAATACCTAGAGGAGGTGTTCAATATCTGCTGAAAAGAAGGTTCAGATAAATCTGAAGTACAAAGTTTGGTTTGGGTAACTGAGTTACCAGTAAATCCAGTCACACAAAAAAATAAGACTGTCAGAAAGGAAGCAGAAGGGAAAAGTGGGGGGGGGGGAGTGCCAGATGTCATCATTTTAGAGGGTAAAAAGAGGCTAACACTGAAAAGATTAAAGTTGCAGGGTACAATGGTGCACACTTATAATCCCAGCAACTTGGGAGGCTGAGGCAGGAGGATCACAAGTTCAAAGCCAGCCTCAGCAATTTATCAAGACTCTGCCTCAAAATAAAAAGTGAAAAGGGATGGAAATGTAGCTCAGTGGTTCAGCCCCCCCCCCGGGTTCAATTCCCAGCATCAGAAGGAGAAACTTCCTCCCTTCCAAGGCATTTTGTTTATCTTTTAGAGAAAGGCTCAGCTTGGTCTCCCTTTGCAATAGAAGGGGTAGGATTCTTGTTCAGAGCTTTTCTAAGAGCCTCTAAATAAGAAACACTTCTGTTTTCATTTTTCTTATCTGCATGCAAGAGGTGAGTTTTTTTTGGGGAGTGGGGGGCTTTTTGTTTGTTTCCCAATCCTTGGGATTGAACCCAGGGTCTCAAGCATGTTAGGCGAGTGCCATACGCTTGAGCTACTTCCCAGGCCAGATTTATTTTTTAAGTTAAAAAAAAAAAAAGTCAATTCAACCAAAAATATTAATAGTATTGTAGTGCAAAGACAAGATTTAAAATAAAGAAATTTTGGGGAAACAACTAATAATTTTAAAAAGGGTAAGAGGAATGGTTAAAAGTAGAAAACGACAGGGCATATTCACATAAGGAAATCAAGAAAAGGTCTGGTGAATTTGGACATGACTGGGTCACTGGGTTATCTAGTAAAAGAAGATTCAATGGAGCAATGGAGACAAAATCCAAACTGTAGTGGTTTATGAAGTCAGCAGAAGATGAGGCACCCTATAAGGGAGTGGACTATTCCTTTAATTAAGGAAGTTGGCTATGGGAGGGAAGTAGATGGAATGATAAAGTAATAAGAGATCTATTGGCAAGTGGGGAAAGAAAAATGAAGGCAAGAAAAATGAGAAAATGTAATGACTGAAAGAGATAAAGAGATGACCTAACCAGAAAGCTGTGCAGCAGCAGAAGGTCCAGGGTGTAAACGAACAGAAAGAAGGATGCCTATTTCTCTGATTCTGGCAAAAGAATAACTCCTGATGTGCCTATCTACAGATACAGAAAGAAGCTGAAGTGGACCACAGAAAAAATATCCCATCAGATAGGACATCTGGGTACTTCCTGGGTCAGGGGACAAAGTTGGGATGGGGGACAGAGAAGAATAGAATTCTGGAACAAATGTCTATTTAAAAACACAAGAGGGCTAATGCAGAATGAATACTAAGGGTACCTGCTGTTGGCTCCCCAAAACCAAGGACTGCCAATACTTCCTAACACTGTATAATTTCCTTCTCTAGCAATGAGTAGTTCCTTGGGGAAATTTTCACTATTGGGGATTTTCAAAGTAGAAGTGGTAGAACAAAAGGTTCCTGAAGTTGATGTTGAGAAAAGCAGGTGAAACAACAGGTTAGGAATCATACTTGGAAGGTTTATTTAAAAAAAAAAAAAAAGCCAGAAAGGGATTGGATTGGAAATAGGATACAGAGGTGGAGAATGCACCTAGCATCTTCATGGTAGGAAACCAGAAGGCTTTCATCAGAAAGTTAAAGAAAAGCCAGGCCTGGTGGCACACAACTAATATCAGAGACTCAGGAAGTTTCAACAGGAGGATCGATTGAGGTCAGCCTCAACAACTTAGCAAAACCCCGTTTCAAAATAAAGAAATAAAAAGGACTGGGGAGGTACCTTAGTGGTAAAGCACCCCTGGATTAACCCTCCCCCCACCCCAAAAAAAGAAAGCAAACGAAGAGTTTCAGAAGTGAAATAAATCATTAGTTCAACAAATAATTGAGAGTCAATTACACCAAAAAATGTGCTAGGCAAACTAATTCCTTTCCCTACAGAGTCTCTTGGGAAAGACCAGACATCTTAAAAAGTATGTCTATATAGAGACAGGGATATACAAATGCAATCATGGTAACTACCATAAGAACAGAATACAAAGCTCTTTAGGAAAAAAAATAAGAGAAACCTAACTGACATTGTGGAGGTAGAAGTAAGGTCAATGAGGCCTATCTGATAAAGTCAGTATCTGAAGGATGAACAGGATTTATTCAGACCAAAAGTAGAGTGAACAATCTTGCAAAGAGACAACATGTGTAGCTGCTAATGCCGGGAAGAGCTGGTGAATTTGGGAAAATGAAAGACGACTAAAACAATAATTTTTTTTTTTTTTTTTTGGTACCAGGAATTGAACTCAGGGGCACTCAACCACTGGGCCACATCCCCATCCCTATTTTTATATTTTTTATTTAGAGACAGGGTCTCAGTGGGTTGCTTTAGCACCTCGCCAACTGTGCTGAGGCTGGCTTTGAACTCGTGATCCTTCTGCCTAAACCTTTAGAGCTTCTGGGATAACAGGGGTACGCCACGGCAACATTGAGGATTTTTTATCTCCAATATTGAGTTAAACAGAAATTATCAGAACTCCATTCATCTTGTAAATTCTACAGAATATTTCGTAACACACTACAAGCCTTAATTATCTGGGAAAACATTACCTTCAGCGTCCTCTCTCCTTTGAGCACTGAGGGATTCTGTGGCCAGGGGTGAGCAGAATCCTGGTGTGGAGGGTTGTTTGTACATACGCACAACTCTGTGAAGAGGCGGGCAAGAAGAGTCAGGTCACACAAGGTCTGGGAAAGCTGAGCTTGGAGTTTACTCCAAGTGCAAGAGTTGTAAGCAGTGATGACACTGTGACCCGATTTAAAAACCAGTTAGGCTACTGCAGGGATAATAGATTAGAGAAAGTGCAATGAGAAGATACTGGGAGATGTTCAGAAGGGAAAATGACGACTTCACAGCTTGGAACAGGGTGACAGCTGTGAAGATGGTCGCTGTGAAGAAAACCAGGTTATAGCATATACAAGCGGACTGCTCAATCCTACTTCCCCCTACTCCAACTTGAGTAGAGCAACGCAGAAAACTCCAGACCACACTAACCTCTCTCAAACAACTCTAGTATTTTAATAGAGAACAAACAGGGCGCGGGACCTCAAAAGAATTCGGTGAAGTAGATGCGTGGTCGCTAGCCCGCCCCGCCGGGAGCCAAGACCCACAAACAGGACGCCAGCTACCAGCTCCACGCCCCAGACCAGGGCAACCCCAGAGGAGCGCGCGCCGCTGCGTCACTTCCGGTCGCAGGATAGCCTACCAGAAAGCGCGCGCCCGGGCAGAGGACCGGTTCGCGGCCGCCCGTACCTTTAGGCTCCATCGCCGCGGCCAGAAGCCAAAGGCGCAAGACGTGGCCGCTGGAAAAGCCCGAGCCAGCACCAGTCACCCGCCAAACGACAGTAAACCTGGTCGCCACTCACCCGAGGGCCACGTAACTGCAACACTCGTAAAGCGAGAAGCCGGTGCCACCACGGAACACAATCCAATCGGCTGTAACGCATGCGCCCTCTGCCCGCCGTAAACCCCGCCCCCAACATCGCGGCGTGGGTGACGGCGCACGCGCTGGCCTGCCAACCTGCTTTGGAAGCACCATTTAGGCCACGTGGTCTGAAGGAAGCGGACTGTCTGGTCTTACTACCTGGGGCAGGATGGTGTTACTATCACCTGGGCCTCTGGCTAATTGGGTGGCTAGAGAACAGTGTATCACCCCTGTTTTTTTTTTTTTTAAACTCATTATTAGTAAAGCGGTTATAAGAATTAAAAGATGTTTCTAAGGGAGAGAGGGATATGCAATTGGCCATTTAAATGTAAATATTGCTACTTAACCATGAACCCTAAAGAGAAAGTAAGCTGGAGGAAGCAAGCCAGCTCCAATTGAGTGCCTCACTGGTAAAGTCGCCTTAACCAATGGAATTGTTACCTCTCATATCCTCTGGCACCTGAAGAATTGGGAAAGGTCTTATCGCTGTTCTTCCCTATGCCCTAAGGCAATGAGCAGTGCAGGCAACCCACACTGAACCTGCATAAGTGTCTTATTACTTTTGGTCAATCATTATGTATCTGTCCTTAGATCTTAGTGGTAGGGAAGATTTTGAACCAGATAATAATTTTAGCTTTGAGCATTCCAGGAAAAAGTTGACCATGGAATGCTGGAGGACGCAAGTTCTAGGCCAGCCTGAGAAATTTAGCCAGATCTTCTGTCAAAACATAAAGAGGATGGGGATGTGGGGTAATCTCCAGGCCACAAAAAGAAAGAAAGAGGATATGCACTCATAGCCCAGTTCAGAACAAAAGAAGGAAGCTGAGCTCCCCCCAAGGAAAGAAATGGTGGGAATACCAAACTGGAACTTTTCAGCTCAGCACTGGAAGAGGGCACCGCAGCAAAAGTCCGCTGGGAGCAGAAGTGTCTATCAAACGGATCTTTGAAGCCTGATTAAGAGAGTGTATCTTTCTCATTTTGAGCCAAAAACCAGACATTGGGAAAATGAGTTGGGAAGGAGACTTAATAATGCTCTGTAATACCATCATATTTCTTCTGTTAGTGATAGATATCCACTCTGGTCATCCCACATGAAACTGAGTGTATTTTAAAAAGGAAAATTATAGTGGTCTCTTAAGTAAATTGTTGAGCTGGGCTGTGTACATTGCTCAGTGGTAGAGGCAGTGATTACCATGCAAGAGGCCTCAGATTCAATCCGCAGCACCGCCACCCCAAAATGGGTATAGTTGGTAGATATTAATTTTAGTGCTTGAAAGTGAAAGCAGAGTTCTTATCCAGCAGTTCCCAACAATTTTGAGAATGAGATTACCCATTTAACATGGAGTATTTTTAGAGACCTATGCATCAATCAGAAGAAACAAATGGTATCCACAAATGGGGCAGTTGACCATTAATAACTTTTATAAAAATGTGGGCATGGTTTAGGAAAACTCTATGGCACAGTAAATAACCCTGGGGCTACTAAGAACCAGGAGCTCTGCCCATCTGTTAGGGACTAAATTGTGTCTCCCTGAATTCATATGTTAAAATCCTAACCCCCAGTACCTTAGAATGTGACTGTTTGGGGATATAGGGTTATTAAAGAGATTAAGTTAAATGAGGTCATTAGGGTAGGTCCTAATCTATTGTGACTGCTGCCATTATAAGAAATTTAAATGCGCAGAGGCATGCATTAATGAAAGAGCGTGTAAGAATACTAAGAGAAGATAGTCATCGACAAGCCAAGGTTAGTGGTCTCAGGAAAAAAAAAAAAAAACAACTCTGCCAACATATTAATCTTAGACTTGCAGCCTGCAGAATTAGGAGAAAGTAAATTTCTCTTGTTTAAACCAGCCAGGCTTTAATATTTTGTTAGAGCAGCCCTAGAAAATAGGCCTAGAGGAAAAGTGGGAGGACCCAGACAGAAGTGAATAGCAGAATGGAGAAGACCTCTTGAAATAAATACAGAATGACCTCAATTTCCTCTATTATTTCTAATGCTGTTGTCTCCCATTGTCAAAGCCAACTGAAAGCTGGAGGGCCAAGGAGCCTGCTGATGCCTGACTTTAGAGATCAGCCTCCAGGGCACAGAGTAGGGTGGAGAAAAATGAAAAGTGAAGCTGGAGTTGTAAACAGGAACTATGCATCATTCCTCACATAGTTGTAGTTATCCTTTTGTATCCTCTTACTTTAGAAGAAGCAGAATAATATTCACTATTAATTCAATAAAACTTTTTAAATGGATTAGTATTTAGTTAATTAAAAGATCAACATACTTTGTCTAAGCCAAGTTTCTCCTGCCCTCCCTCCTCTGATAATAGTAATAAGGTCCAATGAGCTGTGATAAGTCAGATTTGATTATTTCTGTGCTCACCTAAATATTAAGGACAACTCTTTATTCATACCCTCCCAGTCTCTTGATCATTCCTGATCAGGCCTCCTTTGCTGCTATCTGCTGTTTGTTCTCACATCTTGAGAAGGATGTCGGCCTCCAATGCCCACCACTGAGTGGAAGCAGCATTGTGTGGGGGCCACAAAAGCTCTGTCAAAACCACTCCCTGTTGGCACTCTTTGAGGTCTTAATTGAACCTGTCTCCAGGCTGATGGGGAATAGACCCCAGACTCTGTCAGTATCACCTGAGCCTCACAGTAGCCCCACATCCACTTCCAGCAGCATATATAAGGATATCTTGTCCCCAAGGAGAGCACTGCACCATCTCATTGCATTCTTCAACCTAGTTTCTGTCCTAGGCATGTGCACATTCTCTCTCTCTCTCTCTCTCTCTCTCTCTCTCTCTCTCTC